TTATTTAACTTCCCACTCCCCCTTGGTTTGGTCGGCACTATTATATTGCTCAGAGTAGGAGAGTTACGAGTTGCAACTACTGCAGTTAGCTGTGCATCCCTATTCAGCAAAGGAATTAGGGGGTCATCAAGGATAAGAGGGGCAAGGATTTTACCCATTACCATTTCGAGAACTCTAGTTCTCTCTTCGAGCTCGATTGTCCGAGTAGGGTCGGTTGACTTTCAGGTCGTTCATGTTGTGAATTGCTTGGTCTGGGATATCTTTGTCTTGTTCCTGTTGGAATTTGGAATTGTTCAGGCTAGGTTGCATACCCAATTGGTGTTCTTTCATCATCATCTGTTCCACTTAGTTGTTCCTGTTCTGCTCCTCCAACAAAAAGATTTCTCGGCATTGGCCTAAAATCATTCAAGCCGAGCTCAGATAGCTGAGTGTCCTCTTGCTCATCCATTTCATTTCTCAGAGGACGACTTTCAGTAAAGGTACAGACCATTTTGTCTTTCAGCAGGTTAAGCTACACAACTTCTTGTTCAAGTTCCCACAGACGGCGCCAAATGTTTGGGCAGCTTCACGATCCAACACTATTGAAGTCCTCAGCTGCTTTTGCACCTGAAATTCTCGAGGATGTTTCCCCGAGTAAAACACTCCGATGCTCAAGTTAGCAATACTCAATATTCTAGAAAGAGAAGCTCTCAAAGAGTAATTGCAGAGAGAGAAGCGTAGTGGAGTTAATTACCTTGCATGAAGGTGGTTGGGGGTATTTATAGCCCCATGTACTAACACTAGCTTGCATGTGCGTGCGTCCCATTGGACCACGTGTCACAGTTCATGTGAGTGTGTCTCCCTAGCTTGGATCTTGTGAATGTATGAATGGGCCTATTGAGAGTGATCCAGATTGAACTTTAAGCTCCATCTTGTGGAAGTGTTACTGAGCTTGTTGGGCATGACCCAGGTTGAATGTTGGGCCCGATCCCAACACATACCAATCGTTCCAATAAAATATAAAATGATTCAACTTAGCGCCAGTACTGCCGGATGGATTCAACAGACCTTAATGCCCTCTATTGTCATCTACCAGCCTTACCTCCGCCCCTCCCAATATCTTTCATGCATCTACAAGGGTCCAGAACCCACTCGTTAAAGTTGAATACTCACCCCTCCAGCTTTCTTTTGAGCCAATGAAATGACCGAAGTTGAATCAATTCCTTGAGTTTATCTACAATCACTAGAGTTCCTTTGAAAACTTTTTCATTCCAGGCTAGCCAAATCCTCTATAAATATCACTTAGAATAAATCCGATTTATAAAGTTATAAGCTTATAATACATTACAATACTTTGTGTTATTTGAATATAAAATTGTGAAAAATTATAACTTTTTGATAATTAAAAAAACAAGAATAATCATAAAAAAATTTAAATATTCTAGATAAATTATCTCATAAAAAATTTATTAAAAAGATTAAATATTTTCACAAATAATCTTAATATTTAAAATACAAACATGCTAATTTTCACTGTATCTTTCTTTCAACATTCAGTTCGTAGTCCGCACACGAGATAAGACTGCAACCAACAACTTCTAAATTGCAAGACCTTATACTTTGGTAAGCTTAATGTACAAATCATTTTGAAAGGCGTTGCCAAACTAAATACTCAAGTTTAATTTGTAGCTAGGTATGGCAATAGATCTAACAGAGCCGCCCTGTGTTGCAACCCGTAACCATGTCTGTAGGGAATTTTGTTAGGAAATAAGGCTGCAGCACCTGAGTCAAAGAGGGAATTTTGTTACCAATTTAAATAATTTAATAATAATTTTTTTAAATAAAAAATTTTAAATTTAAGTTATATAATATGTAAATAAAGTGAATTAATGAGTAAAAGAATAATAATCTCTTATTATGTAACATCAAATAAAAAAATTAAAAAGAAAACAGCTTTTGTTAATAAAAAAAGAAATAACTTTAACTAATAAACAATTAAAACTTTACTAATGCAGAT